TCGTCGGCCATAACTACATCTGCCTCGAAAAAATAATGCCACTTGTTCGGGGATCGCCAGAAATAATTTCCAAAGTAATAACCGCGCCACTTTTTTCACCGATGGCTTGAGGAAATGTGGGTAGAGTGGAGGTAATAGTTACAAAAATGTCCTTTATTGGCAGAGGTTTTGAAGTAATGCCACGCTCTGAAAAATCAAAGAGAAACCTACATTTCAGTGTTAATTTCTTGACCTGGGAAGCATACTGACTTTCTTTTCCTAAAGTGACGGATATTGTTTTATTATAATGAATTCCTTATTATCGACGGCATCAGTCTTAATAGTAACTAACAAGGCAAACTTTTTTAAAAGACTTAATGTGTTATAAATCAATCTTTCAACTAAGATCACTGGAAAATTACTGAAAATATGTACAAAAATATCCACATGTTTCTCCTGGGAAGAACCTGGACTTATTTCAACCATTTCTTTAGTTATTGTTTTTTAGAAAAAAATAATGGTTTCTATCTTCAACGGCAAAAATCTTTTTTTTTGTTTCTGATGCTGAAAAGATGCTGTGTTGGGAATGTTGTCGTTAGTGCTTGCTGCGAGCTTTGATCTTCACCTGTTTCTTGTACCACGGAGGGTGAGGGTAGGCCATCGGTCAAGGAAAGTTGCGTGCTTATTATAAAACCACACGTAAAGCATTTCATAACATCAATTTACATAAATAACATCCCTACCAAGTGCAAACTTGTTTTCTTATTAATAAACTTGCCTTTGTAACACAGACGGGCCCCGCAGTAAGGAATCAATATTAAGCAATGAGAAATTATTGCAAGACCATGAATACACTTATAACAAATTTATTGAAGTGATATTAACTTCACACATTACAGTTTTCAATTCCCTGTTTACATTAATAATTTAAGAGCATTTTCTAAAATAGTGGGAATATTTGAAATTTTTGTAAAGTTCAGGTTTTCTAGGTCAAGAAGAGCTTCGTGCCAACTCCCAAAACAAATATCTTCTGTGATGGATCCAATGCGATCTATCAATTGCAGAGAAAATAAAAGTCTATTTCTTATTTTTCTTTTGGCTTATTTTCTTTTTCTGCTTTTTCTTCTACTAATTCTACTTCTCGTTCTTTTTCTTACTGGACGTAGCTACCAAGTGGAAGAATCTCCAAAATCAAGCTTGGACAAATATGAATTAACGAATTATGATCTGGATTATATGGTGTGATACGTTATCACACCATATAATTATCACGGATAACTGTTTTGCTTTTGCCTCCCAGAGCATCAATTAATGAAAACATGTTAAGGTTGGCAAAAGAACATCGACTGTAGTGTTATAATAGTATGCTAGTGTGTCAATGGAAAGCTAATAATTGTATCCAAGGACATTATTAATTTAGACTGCGATACTTTGGTGTCTCGAAAACACTAGTACAATAAACTAGTTCTCATTATATCGTTCTTGGCCAGGTATAAGGATTCTTTCTCATTTGAACGTCGAAAGAACCAACATCCTTCCAAAAAGGCCACATTAAGATACGAAGAAAAAACCTGCAAAATGCAATAATTTACTACTAGTGCGACTTTTACGCAGAGTTAATATTTTCCAGAGTCGGATCTTGCAATAATGGTTATCAAGAATATTCATCACTTAGTACTTTTACTATAGATTCTGTAGAAATTCATCTTGAAGATTGGAATTACGTCATTAACCGCAAGTGTAACAAAACTTTCAAACTAAAAATAATTTCGGGGAATGTCCTTATCTTCAATGGTTACAGCAACAGGGTTATTAATCTAGCACGCATATGTTTTTGCATCGAAAATTGGTTTGCAACTAATGCGGAAATGTGGCAATTAATTAGCAATTTATTAATAATCACTTTTTATCTGGCTGTGGTGGCTCATCTTTTCCAATACGATACAGCTCAATTTCTTTGCTTTGCTTTTCCCGAGTTGCATTCTTTGCTTTCATAATTTCCTTTTAGTTTCTTAACTTATTTGCCTGTAGATTTACTTGAAATTATTATCTTCGATCCTTAACCGCTTTCTGTAAGCATTTTGCTTCTCTTTCAATTTCCTTTTCAATGAACTATTCCATCAGATACAACAACGACTTATACTCTTAGGGCAGCGACGGCTACGAAAACAATGGCGGGTAAGGGCTGTAGATTTCAACTTTTTATTGTTAGCCAACCTTATGTTTTTAATAAGTAAATAAATAAACGATCCCTTTTCTTTTCGTTGGCTTACTTTAAATAAATAAGAAAATAGTTGTTCACAACGTTGTATTTTCATTCATTTCTTCACAACGTTTCGACAATTTCTCAATATTGTCATCAACAGGTTCTGAAATTATATGAGCGTGCAATAAAATTAAACAAATAGAACATACTATTCCATATACATACGCAAATAATCATAATCGTTAAACATTGAATAAGAATGTTTACTGCCATAGATTGAGATTGATTAAGAATTTCGCTAAAGATTTGCCCGCGGCCCAAGCGACGAGCAGACACGTAAGCATCGGCTACGAGAGACACGAGGAGACGCGGCCATTGGCGAAAATTCGAACGAATGTCACCTTTCAAAGCGCATGTCATTAAAACTTTTTTAATTGTCTAAAATTTCAGATATGTTCCGTTTTTCGAATCTCCCGCGCTTTGTTCCGCGAAGATAGTTTTTCTACAGATTGGTGAAGTATTCGTACGACAAACGTTGCAATATTATAATATGACGTAGTTAAAAATAATACGAGAACATCTGTGATGTAGTACAACTAGTTTACAAAAGGTATTGTCACGTAAGAGAGCAGTGTAAGAAGTCACGTGAGGTATATGTTTAAAGCTAAACTATTTGTTAAACTAATAATATTTTGTGATTAGTTATAATGAAAACGTAAAACGATTTCTGAGTAACTTTCTAGTATGCAAGAAATTGTGAGAAATAATAAAATTAAATTAACAACCACGACAATATACATATGAGTTATTTCACCTACCTTCGTGTACAGCGTATTCTTGATATGGGAATAGAAGTGTCTAAAACAATTATAGAAAATCAACATGCGAAATAAATTTCTAAGTGCATAAAAATAGTAGTTTACGTAATAAGGGCACGAAACAGGTGATTCACGCACGAGTCGAGTTTGTCGAGACGAGTGAGGGAATCACCTCGCACCCGTGATGCGTGTACTATTTTTTGACACGCTGTGATCGAAAGCAATGCGTCAAGTAAAGATATGTAAATTAAATACCAAATAACTAGAATTACCTTATTTGTACAAAAGTAAATGGATTCCAGTCAGTGTCGTAACACTATTATTAGTAAATAATAAACACACGGCATCAAGACAATTGCGAACCGTTACAGATGTTTTGCAGACGCTTCGCGAAGATTCGCTGGAAACAAGCACAAGAAATCGCGTTTTGCGCACGGTGACTTAAAAATTTATTTTCCATTAGAAAAGACATAACACGACATTTCGTTGTTTAATGTAATCACATTTTCAGGTGACGGTTCTGCAAATTTACAATAAAACTCTTGAAAATTGAATTTCATAAAATCAAAATTACAAAAAATGTTTGGCAAAGAGTTGCAAATAAAATATACTAACTTTATGTTGAAGAGTAAAGAGTTACAGATAGCAACGTTAACATACAAACCCGGGAACGTCTAATTACGTAGATAGCAACGCTTTTTATATTTTTAATTTTGTATAATTTCTCGCTGACTCAGGAGGCCCCAGTTTCGATTCCCTGAAGCAATAATTGATGTTGTCGCAGCATCGTGACAGGAGCGGGCGGCTGTCGAAAATTATTACTTTTTACAGTCAAACTGGGCGCTCTCTTGCCTAGTAAAATCCGTAATAGCTATTAACATTCCTAGATATGTAATAACACTAACATTTCATGGTATGTTCAGCATTTTATGGATCTCCGTAAAATCTCACGATTTACGATATAACTGCGATAGTTCATGAATTCTGTTACTGCGGCACGTTACTACGACAGGTGAGGTGTTGCTTGCGATATATCTATTTAAACAATATTCGTATATCGTTATTGGAGAAAAGATGGACGCAAATAGTTCTCCTGAACCTAAAGATACTTAAAAAAGGATGTTCGATGAGGAAGTTGGCGCGATGACGTCCAGAGGCGACACCTTCAGATCGCCAGTAAATATGATTACCGGAGACGCGTTTCCTTTGGTGGAATGCCAGAAATAAGAGGTTAATTTACCTAATACACATTTTAATTGTACTATTAATATTACAATTAATAATAATTATACCCCAAACTAATATGAGTTATCATGAAGTGTTTGAATCTGAAACATCGCCAGTTCTTTTTTCTTTTGATTTAATTTAATAATAATTTGAGTTGCGATAATTCGATGGTTCTTTTTTTACGTTGCTAAGGGCGTTACATTTCTTAATATACAGGTAGATACAAGTGCACTTAACGAATCTGTAGGTTTGCGTGTTAACAGGAGTTAAAGACGCACGTGACCGATAAAATGCATTTGCACGAGACTTATTCTGTTGACAACTATAGAATTCGACCTTCCTCAAAGATTTCTTTCTCCAGTAAATTGAACAATCAGGGATTGCGGAGAGTCATAACAACAGGATTAAAAATTAATGTAATTAACCTTCATGAATGAAGGTAAACCTAAGCGCAAGTAGGAAAGTCAGACAACAATGGATGACTAAGATGATTCTTCTGCTGAAGAAAGAACAAATATAAGGAGTTTTTGGCATGCTCAAAAGACTTTTCAACAAAAATTAAAAAAAAAACACATAAATTCAGCTTTGAACATTCTCGTTTTGTTGCAAAACGCATTTTCGAAATCTCCACTTCACTCTATCCCTTTCTTACTGTTTTCTACACTAACGTAAAAACAGAGAATTCGAATGAAGAACGTCATGTACTCGTACATGTTCATCTAAATGTTGCCAGGATTCCATACAAATAAGAGGTGTTGCGCTTGTTGCAGATACGTACGTGAAAACTTACCTTCGCGAAGGTGAGCGTTGGCTGCAGAAGCGCAAGACGCGAGTCGTCCGCCACAACTTGGAGCCGCAATTTAAGCAGACCCTGCGCTACAACGCTAGCGACGTGCTAGGGCGTACATTGCTTGTGATGTTGTGGGAGCACCAAAAGGGCTTCGAACACAACCAGGGGCTTGGCGGGGCGGAGGTGGCATTGGACAAATTGCAACTGACGCAGACTACCACAGGTTGGTACACTCTCTTCCCAATCCACAGCCTGGGCTCCGACTCCAACGATTCTCCCTGACAACTCGGGCGAATAGAAGCGTTCTCGGAGGAGCCCGCCCTTCAAAGCTTACCTGCTTCCGGCGTACATTCAAGAAACGACTTCCAGCTTCACATCGACCCCTGCTTCAAACGCCACTGCGTTTTAAGCCACTGCGCGAGTACCGGCCCGTGCAGGTGTTCTAGTAGTAGACGGAGCGAAGGCCCCTCTAAAAATCTATTTACACCTCCATGTGTCAGGGTTTTGGGACAAGCTGTCTGCTCTACCAGACTTCCCCCTTTGTCTCGTTACCTAGATGATGCTGTTTCCTTCAAGATCCGGGTGGAGGCAACTTACGAATTTGTAACTTTAGACAGTAAATGTAAATCATATTTACACCCCACAAAGTTTTGTAGCTACTCACTCTCTTGTTAATGAGTTTTTTAGTCACATACCGTAATCAAGAGAACTTTGAAAATTGTAGGTTGAGCTGACCTTGAGCTTTGAAGAGTGATTTCGAGGAAGAAATAAAGTTCAATGTTGAATTATGTTTCAAATTACCCTTTCATAGAAATCTCGTTTTCCTCTCCATGTAATATTTAACCCTTTTTAAGATATTAAATATTTCATATTTGAATTTTTGCATGTAGAAATGAACTGTATATTTAGAATATTTCTTGAAATGTACTTTGTATAAAAGACAATATAAAGAGAGTAAAATAAAATGCTTTAAATGAGTTTAACAAATACAATGATAAAGTGGATTAAAAAGCAAATTGATTGCCATTAAATGCCTAATGATTTGTTATGTGTAAATAGCAATCATTTTTCCTTGTATTGAAATTGATATCTTGCATTGTGATTAAAAAGAGCTTCACATTTCAATTACCAAAAGAGTAAGATTTCAATTGAATCTAATGTTTAATTTTGATTTATTAAGTCACTTCTTTTCCTCGATCATAATTTGATAATTCATTAAAATTGTAAAGAGAAAAAATATGTTTTAAAGGCAACAAATTTTTCAAACAATAATACTGTTAACAACATCCAGAACAGCAACAATAATAATTTATTTATTATAGAAAAACATAAGTATCTAGTAAAGTCAATATCAGGATAACAAAATACTTGCTTCCCACAATAATAATAGTATTAACAATTAATTTAACTTGAAATAAGAACAACAGTAATAAAATGCAGTTTTCAAAATAAGTGTTCAATTGAATAAAAATGTAAGTTCAAACCCTTTTGTAATGGTATGTTGTTAAACAGTAAATAGCATATTACAGCAATTCAATTACTTGTATGAACGCACAGCAATAAGATGGCGTTAAGTTATGTTTTGAAAACCTATTTCACAACAGATTTTATGGTAACTGCAGCAAAGTAGTTACATCACTGACATAGTCGACTTAATGACTGATAGTAGACAATGTAAATTACTACATGTGAAAATTCATATATTTAATATTTTGCTTAATTTATTATTTTATTTTCATTATAAAACACTCAGCTATTTTGTTAAGGCATTTACTATTTTTGATTAGAAAAAAGAAAATGTTTTTATTAAAAGAAATTTAATATCTTGTTTAATTTAAAAATATGGGGTAATACTGTCAACTTCACTTCAGCAGGCAATATAAATATTTCAATATTGCATTATTGATGTATTTAGTAATTTGTTCATCAAAGTACAATGTATGAATGTATTGTTGAATGAATGTTTAGAAAATTTTAAATGAAAGAAGTTGGAATATCATCAAATTAAAAAGTGGAAAGTGCTTGTTTGTTTGCTTTTCACTTTAAACTTTTATATTAATGTACTGTTATAGTTCCATTTTTGAGAGAGTATTTTGGAATTACAAATCAGTTTAAAATTGCATATAATGCCAAGGAAAAATTAATGAAAACTGTTATTGGTAGACAACAATCAACAGAGAAAAAATGTGCCTGTACGTAATTTATAAAACATGGTGCTCAATCAGGTAACTTATGCATACAAAATAGCAAGTGAAATATAGAGGCAATCTTTATTAAGTTCCTGTGAAAAAAGAACACCAAAAGAGGTTCTGGCAAATCATCTTGATTCTCTTCAATTTGAGTTAGAAATCTGTGAAGGAAAAATAAGTATAATTGTTAGCAGTGTTATACTCGTAAACAAATGTTAAAATACAGATATTATCAAATGCTGTCTCTTTTGTATGTCTTCCCAGCTCTTTTTTCTCTTTAAATTAATAATGTCCTTCTTATGTAAAAATAACTGTAATAACAATGATAACGACAAAGGTGCTTGGACATTTTCTAGTGAAGGCCTGTCACCTTGAAGACTTTGTATTAGCTATTTCATGGATGATGCACTAGACAATTATGATGCATACAGACTTCTGACTGACAGGTCAGCAGGTGGAATTTTCTGCCACAACATATTTGCAAGACATGGGACAACCAGCCAAAGGCAGAGCAGGATTCTTACACATACTTGTATATCAGAGTTGGTTGAGTCTTACCCCAGCCTCATCACAATGATGTTTTGTTCACATGTCCATGGCACAAGCTGGGAGCAAGTCTCTACAACTCTCAGTTGATTCAATACATTTTTAGAAATTGTCCAGTACACTGGTTAGAATATACTTACATAATGTCTCTCATAAGTGTGCTTGATAGAGAGCAACAAAAGCAAAACATCTGGTTTTTGGATTATTTTATTATCAAAACAACTTTATCTAGCCATCTGGAATGCAAGTTTGTCAAAAAATGAACTTTGTAAGTGCACAGTACTATTTTAAGTAACTTAAATCTGGATGAAAATATTTTAAAACATCATCATCAATCAACTGGAATCATTATATTTAATAAATATTAATTACTCCATAATTTTCTTTCAATTTGCTCAATTTCTTTCCATTAATTTCGATGCGTGTTGCATATGGATGACTTTTCCTCCTCGATTTTCTCTTCCGACACAGAATTTGTATGATGATCCTGCTTTGATATGATCCATGATTTCATTTGGATACTGTAACCCTTGCTAACATTCCCATTGTTATTTTATGTAATGTGCCCTTCATAATTGGAAATTGTAGTATCACTTTTAATTGTTGTTAATGCCAGTATAATTTGAAATAAGTAATGCATCTTAATGTTTTGGAGAGGCAAATTATCACTTATGATATTAATTTACAAATGTCCAAAAAGCTTATTTTCATTTTAATAACTTAACAACTGGATTCTTTGTTAATGATGTGATATTTTAATGGCAAAGTTCTATTTGTTAGGTTTATAAGTTTGTTTATCTGAAAAGCAACTGTAATATTTACTCTTCTGTAGCCTAGTGTGCCTTATAGGCCATTTATTCCCGGAAATGCACTGTTCAAGCTTTAAAAATATGTTTGCATAATTTCTTTTTTCAGCTTGCAAAAGTTAATTATGAATGAAAGTCTGATTAATGCAGTGAAGTTTTTGAAAGTTCTTGTATTATTTCTAAAAAAAAAAAAAAAATTCAAAAATGATGCCAGTATTGGGATATTGTAGAATGTTGTTGTTACTTGATAATATTCAGCATGCTTGTGAAAACAATACTAATAAAATAAAATAAAATAATAAGGCTATAGAAATTAATTGAGAAAATATGGAAGACATGCAAACAAACCCAAGGACACAGAAGAGAATCAAGATGAATATTTGTTGTCAGAGATCAAACTATAAGGGCTTCTGATCCATCAGCTCCTCCTGTGGCAAAATATCCAGAATTTTTTATTTTAGAACATATGCATACTATGTATATAAAAATCTTAAGTCCAAGACTGATCAAACATTGATTTCAATTTCCTAACTTTGAAAACGATTTGCACTCTTTTAGCCCTTGAAATGGTGGCTAATGTTTCTCTATGTCAATTATTCTATTTGTTGTTTAAAAAAATTGATATGCACTTGACAATCATTATTCACAATTTATTGAATTGTAAATAATATAAAAATTGAAAAACAAGCTTAAAATTCTTGCTCATTATAGAACAACAGGTGGCCTCTTATTACGATGTGTGGCTGAAAAGTTATGTGAATATTATCATAAAAACAAAACAAATGTGAGTAATATCTTTATTGACCTTTAAGAAAAGTTCCACCAAGTGCTTCAACAATATTCTTAAAACTTCTGGAACAATTGGGGAATTCTCCAGAACAGTCGTCATTCACTTTTCAATCTTTGAGATGTTTCCTAATGTCTGATTCCTTCACTAACACAGTGGGTGTTGTTTTTATTGACAAACATTCTTTTATCAGTTTGAAGGAATCATACCAGAATTAGGTTTTGTGAAAATCTGAAATGTTAAGATCAATGCAACAAGAGTAGTAAAGTACCCACACTAACAGTTTCAACATTTCCAGAAGTTTTAGAAATAGTGCCCAACTGTATTGTCACATGGATACTACTTTCAAGGTTAACAAATGTAATCCCTACTTGTATTCCGTTCTGATGGGTAAATTCACAAAACTTTTTAAACACGCCAAGCACAAATGTGCATTGTCTATTTTATTGTTCTCAACTTAGTTGCCTTTCTTTAAAACTCATGTGAGTTTTTGGGGAAAAAGTTGTCTATGCTTTCTCTTTTCATTCCTGAGGGCAATTTTGGAGAAAAACCTTCAAGTTCTTGTATTCATTGGTGCAAATAGTTGGTTATGAACTTTCCATTAAGTTGCGAGTCAAATTGTTTGATATATGTTTAATTTCCAAGTTTACAAATTTGAATCACAGGAAGAAGTATTAAAATGTTATTACACATATCTTCCAAACCAATGGTTTTTAAAGAAGGCCTCCTATAGAACGATCACTACGGAAAGCTATTTCCATAATATTATATTATGGAAATAACATTTTGGAGTCGAAGATAATGCCGCAAATTCATGAAGAGTATCTTTAATTTCTGTTGTTGTTTCTTTTTAAAATTGAATACTTCATTGCATGCGGTAAAAATAAGTATTTTTAATTCTGGTAGAGGAATTTCAAATTATAAATCCATGAAATGGGTGTGAATAAAGAGTGCTCGAGGCAAGACAATATATAATTAGT